GCAGGCGATCTCTGATCGTGTGTGCGCGGGATATTGTGAGTTGGCTTGGAAAGCGTTAATCAAGAGAAAGAGAACAACGGAAAGCAACAACAACCTGCTACTGTGGTCGGACAAGAGAGTTCCACACAGCTCTAAGGTGATTGATTCTGAAGGAAGGGGTTAAATACCATTACAATTGGAAACAAACATAGGCTGATGATTGTACCTCCAACTCCAACATAGGTACTTGTAAGAAAGTGGGGACCCATTTTGGGTACAACTGCGGTACCTCCTTTTGGATCAACAGATAACACTGGGACGTCCCAAGCATCATGCACAACGAGCACCAGGAAACGGGGGCGAGCCGTACTTACTTGTAGACGAGTCAGACAGCCGAGCGCGAGATCTCACAATCTCCGAATCTCGAAGCTCACAAAATCTCGAATGGGTAGTCTTTCTGTATTTTTATTTTTTATTTTATCAATATCACACAACAAATCCATCTCTATCTATAGAAGTAAGTCTAAGATAGATTAGCAATAAATCCATACCGTGAGAAAAAAGCTACCTGTATGTCTACGGTTTCAAATTATTATTATTATTATTATTATTATTATTATTATTATTATTATTGTTATTATTATTTTTTTAATATCACACAACAAATCCATCTCTATCTATAGATAGATTGGAAATGATTACATAGCGTGAGCGAAAGGCTACCTGTATGTCTACGGTTTCCCAGGCAGCATACAACGATATCTCCCCTGTGGGTAACAGGCTCAACAAGGCAGTTTGGTAGCCATCTTGTGGATCTATGTATATGTTATGTTGGGAATGTGTAGACGGAAGATTTAGGGGAACTCGGTTTGTTTGTCGGGTGTGTTCTATTACGGCACCCTTAAGTGTTTGCGGAGCAAGCACGTCTCGGGGTGTGTATATTTTCGTCATCAACTTATTTTTTGTGTCTGACGTACGGGGGCATGTGCGGCGCGGGAGAACATATTTACCTTGTTGTGTAATGGCATGTCGTTAAATGTGAGAAGGGCAAGGGAGAACATTCTCTCATCATTGCCTCCTGACGTTTCCTAAAATCTCTCGAATCTCGCCGCGCGAAACGGTATGTAACCCAAATAACCCAACCACCCGAACCGCAACAAGTTCCGCCGCACATGACGGCAAGTCGAAGTCGTTCACTTCGTCATGGGTGCACCGCAACCGTGGCGTTGGGAGGTTCTCACAAAGTGAATACCGCAGAACTACGAGAAGCACACTGAGGAGGCCAGGTCTGGCCTCTGACTCACCTCGGTATGTACATCGGTGCGTGGACGGAGTATCGGCTTGCTCAGGAACATGTGCAACACCGTCGTGAGATACATGCTGACAGCGGCACAATTAGTGCTGCTGAAAATCGCAAAGCCTCAGGAATATATCACCCATCTCTCCCTGACAAGGGCGGCATGGAAGTAGCAGGGCTTCCGGACCGTGAGAGCTTTCGTAGAACCCTTGAGTCGGCTCTATCGTCGAACTTGGCTGCCGACGACGCCGAGAACATTTCCCAGGCACTCGAGCCGTTGATGCAGCGACTGCCTACACTCCACGCAACAGCGGCGGCAACGGTCAACAGAAGGAGACAGACAGGAGGTATGCCGCTGTCGACCAGAAACTCGAGACAGCAGCGGTGTCACCGGCAGAAGCGAAAGGGGGCCAATCACCGAAACTGGGCGCTGAACAAGCGGTGCGGCGGGCGGCGCACTGGTTCCTCCAGCGGTCTTCATACACACAGCGACTTTGGTCCGGAGTCGGGTCGGTTGTCGACTTCCGACGGAACTCGCTCGATGTTATCCGGGTTTTCTACAGCCAGTGCACCCTTGAACACTGCCGCTGCGCTGGAGGAACGGAGAAAGAGATCAATGGGCGTTTTGGCCGAGACTGGTATCGGGCAGCAGCACCAACAAGATAGGCCGGGAGGCAAGAGCAGGATGTCCCAGCTGCCACTGATAGTTGACACGAGACGACGAAAGCAGTGGCATCCTCAGAATAGTCGCCAAGGCTGCTCCAACAGAAACCGTGGCAACAGTACTGGACTGTCGTACCAGGGCACTCCAACAGCAGCGAGTGAACACCGTAAGCCATGCCGAGATGGCAATGGTGGAGGTGATCCGTCTTGTAGCAGACCACCCGCCGGTTTCGACCCGACCGTTGTTGGTAACTCCGAGGAGGAAACGGTAGCATCGGCAGGAGGCTACGATGGTGGGGCTACTGCGGCGATCTTACGTATGGCAAGGAGGCGAGATCCTGCGGGTCTTAAGGCCGATTTTGAGCAGTTCTGGAGGTGGAAGAGAAGGGCGGCAGCGACGTTCACGAGTACCGACACCTCCAAACGCTGTCCTTCGGCGATGGAGATACGTAGTACCGCTGGTGCTGCGGCAGCATCCAAATTGGAGACTCTGGAAAGAATGAAAACAGTCTACATGTCAAAGGAGGATGCTGGTAGCGGATGCTCTTTGGCAGCAAAAGCAGCAGACCCCCCAACAGAAGACGCACAGGAAGGGCCATCACGGAGCCCTCGGCCACCAGGTGGCGCACCGGGAATTGCCCCACTCGGCAACAGGGCCAACAACGTCGTCTTCAACGGCAGCGCTCGCTCGAAGTTGCCGGGGGGTACTTGCGATGAGATGGACATCTCCAGGCAGGAGGACCAAAGAGATTACCATGTAACAAAAACATTTGCTGACGACACAGATTCTACCTTCGATCACGGCGAAGCGGCTGTCAGTATTCCTGAGCTGGAGCTAACCGAAAGCCAAATTCGGCAGGTGGAGAAATATTTTAGTGGCGGGTGCAGGAGGTTGATAGGCGGGGGCGCTGGGCGGCGGCACGGATCGGCTAGCGAGGTAGGAGAGGGCTCTCTTTCTGCGACAGTCATCGCTGGAATGGCGGTTTGCCACGTTGTACACAAGCGCCACACACGTGATTCAGACCCAAACCCGGTAGTGCATTGGTGGGCTCAGTTCGACTTGTTCCAACTCCACCGTAACGATCAACTACGTATTCCTGTGAGCAATACGCTGCTTACATGTTATTTCGTACATTGCATGCCCCTACCATTTCTTGGCCTTCACCCGGTAGTTTCGGTGGTTTCGTCGGCCAACGGTTCTTCTTGAAAAACGCCGTGTCCCAATATCGTTACGACGTTGACTTCGCGCGAGCTTAAGCTGCAGCAACATCTCATGCTGTAGCGACACCCGTTCCTAGCTCGAACAAACTACACCTACCTGAAAAATATCTACCGAACTTTCCCCCCCATGACTCAAGAGGATTTCACGTTTGTACCATCCGTGGCGTTCGAAAAAAAGGGTGTTGATACTGCCAGCATGTAGGATCACGTGATGCACAGGGTGTGCCCTCAACGTGACTCGTACTGATGAAATCTCTACACCGTTCGGTGTGCCACGTTCTTGTTAGACGGTCAGCCACACTTCAATGCTGCTTCTGTCAAAGCCCGAGGCGTTCAAGTATGGAATATCGTTGTATGGACCTGCTGTACATTGGTTTACCGGGGGGGAATGGCTGGCTAAACTATCGTGGTATGCACCATATGCGGCCTTTGACAGGTTCATCGGTTGGTACCCGTCTGACGGGGCCACGTGTTTCCCCTTGCCACTCTTGTTTCCATTTCAGGAGGCTGAGTTGCTCCAAGAATATGCTGTACGCCCAGCGGCAAGCGAAGGCAGTAGCTGGGCGCCGCAAAGTTATCCGGACGGGGCGGCGGCTGCCGGAAACTTCGCCGTGAAGGATGAAAATACCTCGGTAGGTTTGCATAGCGCTGCTGGTGGTATTGGTGATGGTGGCGGCAGCGACAGCAGCCAAAAGGGCGACAACAACAACAGTGCAAGAAGCAGCGCCGATTGCGACGCAGAAAGGCTCCGTCCATGGAGGGAAGAGGTTTCTTCTTCGTTGGACGGAGTTCTTGGTCTTGCTGAAGCGCCGGGGGGGTGGGAAGGTTCCCACGCCGGCGTGTTTTCTCCGGCTACGACAACGGAGGAGGCGGCGGTGGCGGCCAGGCAACAACGAGAACCTCTCCCTCCCGAGCCGTACCGTGAAAGAAGTGTTGAGACCCACGCCGGAAATGGTATTGGCGTTGTTCCTGGTTGTGGTGTCATGTCGGCGTCGGAACGGGGGCTGTCGCCTCTAGACAGAAAAATCGGGGATGTCTCTGCGGGTTTCGGGTTGGCAGCCCCTTCTCCTGCGGCCGCCTCCGTCGCCCCTGCTTGGTGCGCGGACAGCTCTAGCCTGGAAGATTTGGTGTATTGGACTAGAGGACTTGACTACGACGAAGCCGTGCGAGGATTTTGATTGACACATTGTCGTTGTTGAAGCGCCTATCAGAATTAGGGGGTACACGCGCTGGAAGACATCCCGCACGAAAGTCCCGTATCAGTCACGATGGGATAGATTACATCTTGGACATACGGTCAGGTGTCGATGTCACCTGCGAAGGATGTTGCGCTTTTTCGCGACGCCGCTTGGAGTCCGGGAATTGACATGTATGTGTGTACTAGCGTGTGTGTGGTTTCGAACCACTTTTGGATTGGAAGAGGACCGACTGAAGTCATATGGTGAGCTACGTGAGGCATACGTGGGCTTGGTAGAAGAAGCCGAACGGCATGTCCCAAGTGTGTTGCAGTTTCTACTCCGGATGGATCCGTAATTTGGGGCTTCTCCTAGGAAAGGCCGTATCATACGTCGCCGTTCCGCGGCGTTCTTGAGTGTGAGTGGAAAGCAGTGAGCTTATTGTGGGGGGGATTGGCAACACATGAGGTGGAGAAATAGACATGGAGCTATCCATGCCCATAGCGATGGAGTGCACTGCCGTGTGTGTGTGTGTTTGCACTCATCGCCCTCGAACAGGGGAACAGTCTGAGGCATTAACTTTACGCTGTTTTGGTGCACCCGAACATTCCGCCATGCTCCCTTCCGTTTCTGTGCGAGTCAGGCATGACCTCCCCTTCGTTGCGTTTTCTTTTTTCATTCCTTGCGAAAGCGACAAATGTACCGGTGGACAACCGCTATGTAAGCAATGGCTACCGCTAGCGCTCAAAAACTGGCACGCCTCGGCTATCAAGGATACTGAATACAGAGCACCAGACCTCTCCTTGCCTTCCGGTACTGCCAACGTTGCGCGAGCGACAAACTGCGCAAAACACCTTGGTACCGAACACCCTTGTTCTGCGCACCGTGGGAGCACGCGGAGATATGCAACACGAACGTCCCACACGCGACTGACCCAAACCACAACCTCTGCCTGAATCTACCCACTCCTTGCGTCAAGTCGACGACAAAAGAATCACCATAATGAACTTGACCAGAGAGAGAGGCCAGTCTCGACAACGATGACGAGGGGGGCGCTGGAGAAGGAACCAACGAAACCACAACAAAGAAAACACCAGCAACACTCAGCCGTCAACAAGGCCTCTCACCGGAACCCCAAACAAAAACCCCTTTCGCCCTCCCACACCGACCGAAGGCGGATCGGCTGTACCCCCTGCCAATCCCCACTCTACAACACAACACAGGTTTTCCTAATGAGAGTGTTGCGCTTACACGGCACCGTGCGCTCTCCCCCATTTCTTTTCTAATCTCGGTGGCGGAATCCTTGATCTCCCCTCCACAGGGGCCAAGGTGACCAGCGAGCGGAGAACCCGCGCCTGAAACACCCACACAACCACGTCAACCGGTAATTTACTACGGAGCCTTTGTTCGCCCCATTTTTCTCGATGGTATATCCTACTCGGAGCGTTTCACACAGCACACCTTCCCGTACCCACCACCACAAATGAAAACCCCATCAAGACGTAAAAACCCACAAGAGTCCCCAACACACACAGGTTTGTCGTGGTATGGCGCTCCCACGCTCCCCTCGTCACACCGTGCGATTTTGTTTTTTTGTTCTTTCTCAATTAGGTTCCAACTGATTGAGTACAACTACACACCCAAAGTCTTCTTCGACACGGTCGTGTCAACTCTCAGTCCGACCAAAACGGCCCAGAACTTTTGCTACCAACCGCAGAAACCAAAATCTCTAGCCCCCTCCCCCCCTCCCTCCCCGTTGTACGGAGACTCGACTTGGCTCGGACCGCAGGCGCAACTTCCTCACGAGCGCAGCAGACAACCACCCATCGCCTGCCGGCAGCAGCAGCAGCAAGGACGCCCATCTCGCCCTTCTTTCCCCGCCGGCTACAGCAAATGCTTCTGTTTTCCCCTTTTGACACTCTTCAACGACCCCAAAACAATTCATCAGGAAGCATGGCAGGAATTACGTGTGTCGGCGTCGCAGACACCAACAACCCATGTGCTCTCCCACCCAACCTTTGATTCTAGCCTCTATTCGATCTCTGACACCAACAACGCAGCAGCAGCAGCAGGCCATCACACCGCCAACTGCCGGCGTGTGGAGGCGCCACGGAAAAACGGCACACGATGGCAACTTGGTGCCAAAGCCAAAACCCTCGAGCAACAGGCTCAACACCGCAATGCCAGCCTTCTCCATTGAGTCAGTCAGCTGTCCCATTGCGGAACAACTACGCAAAATGACAAGCTTAGCTCAAGACTCAACAATCGCATTGACTCATGCGTTCGCAATGAGCGGGGCTTGCGGTGGTGAGCGAGTCAAGTTGGGTAGAGTGGTGCGCTCATAGCCCCCCCCCCAGCAACCCACACCCAGTCCACTCACAACAGCAGAATCAGTAAAATCTCGTTAGTGCCCAGTCTTCGCCGCGCTTGTTGTTTTCGGCAGGGCTGGGGTGATCAAAAAGAACAATACCGACAACAAGCAAAGCTTCTATGTTCACGAACTGAAGCTACACCTCATTTCGTCCACGTCTTGTACAAGTCTCAATCAGCACAGGAAAAACAAAAAATACGAAGGCCTTGTGGTACAGGCATATTGGAAGCTCAACCAAAATCAGACCAGTTGCTTGCGGTGTGGGGGCTGACAACGTGCAGCAGCGGGATCAAAAAAACAAAAACAGAGAGACGGAACGTCAAGACTAGGGTCAAGCACACCACGCCCACCCAACCGGAAGACCCCTTGTACACACTATAGTTTAAGATATCGTCGCCAGGACAGACTCCAAGAGCGTCATAACAGCAGCCGCGGCAGCCGCGGCGGCGGCGGCGGCGGCAGCAACTCAGTTGCTCGCGATGTTGGGCTTGCGGGGAAGCGTGGGCAGGTCGTCGATGGCGACCGCCAGGAAGCGTTCGCCGAGGAACTTCTTCTTCACCGCCACCAGGTGCCGCTGGGAGGCCGTCACCGGCTCGTCCAGCAGGAACTTGATCATCAGGCGGGCGCAGCACTCCAGCCCTTCCCGCGGGGTGTTGCAGAACTTGGCAAGCGCGTCCGGCTGCGACATCGTCAGCAGCAGTGTGACAACGGTAACAGGGGCGGATAGTTAAGCTACTTGCACCAGCAAGCACCAGAGAGCGGGGGCACGGTAAAAAGGCGGAGGGGGGGGAGATGTGTAT